CGCATCTTGCGCTGCAAGGGTTTTTGAGAACGATGATGAGAACGACGATGACAACTACCTTTCCACACCATTTTCGATCATTTTGGCAGTGAAGAACATCAGCATTGTGTCTCATTTTACGAATTTGACATTTCTCCCCGATTGGATTCGAGTTTGAAATCGTTTTCGTGTTTACTCGAGGTTAGTATTCTATGTCTCCTGATATATGTTAAAATTGAATCCGTGATTGTTTTTGGGGATCTCAATCACGTCATTGTATGAATGTCTCCGCTGGATTGCTATTGGAATGTCATTATTTTGTTTGAGTGTATTTTCGGTTTACACACTCCATTTACGTGCTTTATTGTTTGTATATTAATTTATTTTTAAATATAAATTTTGAATATCTAGGAGTGACGAAACTTTATAATATAATATGAATCGAAGTTGGATGAATGTCCATCGTATTAGTGAAGAGTACAAAAAGGGAGTTGATGAATTTTTGAAATTTGCTAGTGAAAATGAAAAAAGTATTGAATAATATATGACTTTTTTTCATTTAAAATCGTGTCTAGAACTAATGTTCTAAGTGGAAAACCCAGAACAAAGACTTTGCAGTTCATTTATCCTAAGGTTAGAAACTTATATAATAAGTGAATACCATAATTATTGTTTGTATTTAAATTTTTGAAAATAACATTGTATTTTATTCATCATTTCAGTGTAATAAGCAAACATACTCATTTGAATGTGGTTACTATGTTATGTATTGGATGAGAACCATAGTTTGTGCGGGTATAACTGATTCTTGGACGGAGGTAATTGCTTTCAACATTATTAAGTTTATTTAACTTTATGTGTGTTGCATGTTTACAAGAGTCAAATTAATGTTTCAGGTATTTCAAGATCCATCTCCATTGCCAGAATATGATATCACACAAATTAGAAAACAATGGACAAGGTTTTTCGTTTAACAATTCTAGTACTTAATTTTTTAGGTTATTGTTCATATTATATTGTGTGTATTATGTAGTTTAGGTAGCTTAGTTTGTACTAACTTTTAGTTTGTACTAACTTTTAGTTTATGATAGATTTTAGTTTGTAGGTTATTGTTTGTATTATATTGTTTTATTATGTAGTTTGAATTATATATAATATTATATTTTTTAATTACATAGCTAAAGAAACCTGACCCTCTGGACTGTCTAGTTATAATATATATTTGCAGGTTTTGGTTGTAAGACAAAATAAACCTTTTTTTTTAAAGGAGCAAATTTACGTCGTATATTGGTATACACGACGTAAATTTACATCACATATACCAATATGAGACGTAAATTTACGTCGCGTATACCAATATGTGACGTAAATTTGCTCCAAATTTTTTAATTTTTGATACTTTTTACGTCTGTTTAGTGTAAATGCAATGTAAATTAACGTCAAGTCTCGATAACTGACGTGAATTTATGTCGGGCTAAGGGTCCGACGTAAATTTACGTCTCCCATTTTAACGTCAGTCTTAATTGCGACATAAAAAATTCAAAATACTTGACGTAAAAATCCCTTTTTCAATTAGTGTGAGTATGTCAACCATTTTTTTTTTCATATGAGATTTATTTATTGTTGAGTGGTCGATACACAAGATTTACGTATTAATGTATATCAAATATTAGAATTAGAATTTGAAACTTAAAATAATCTTCTAAAAGATATCAAATATAAATGTGTTATGTGATTAAATGTAACATAATGAAATATGTAAATTTATCTTTAACAACACGACGTGATCCTTCTATGGTATGAAGTGATATTGAAGTTTAAATTGATATTTCTAATTCAGGTTTGAATATTTGGTTAGAACTTTTATGTGGACATGTTGATCATATATTTACTAAACAATTTATTAGAATTTTCATTTTTGAACGTTAGAATATTTCTATTAATATATTTAAACAGTATTTTGATGATATTTTGTGTCCGTAAAAATTCATCTTGTGGTATTATGCATTGGGTAGTAAATATATTAGAATAATATAACTTATAATTGAATGAGTACATGATGATTGAAAGGCCAAATAGAGTTTGAAGCATTCCTCCTCACTTTCTTAACAAGTAAATGTCTTGAAACCCTTAATGAAACAATAGGGCCCTTTTTATTTTCTCAACAACTAAATGTCCCAAGGACATTGGAAGAAAATTTTATCTTGTATACTTACCCATACAACACTAGTGCAAAAAAGGCTTTTTACGTCGGATATTTTGGGTTTTTTACGTCATATTTAAGACCGACGTTAAAACGGGAGACGTAAATTTACGTCGGACTCTTAGCCTGACGTAAATTCACGTCAGTTATCGAGACCCGACGTTAATTTACGTTACATTTACACTAAACAGACGTAAAAAGTATCAAAAATTAAAAAATTTGGAGCAAATTTACGTCACGTATTGTTATACGCGACGTAAATTTACGTCGCATATTGGTATACGCGACGTAAATTTACATCGCATATACCAATATGCGACGTAAATTTGCTCTTTTTTAAAAAAAAAATTAGGTTTATTTTATCTTACAACCAAAACCTACAAATATATATTATAACCAAACAATCCAAAGGTTCAGGTTTCTTTAGCTATGTAATTAAAAAATATAATATTATATATAATTCAAACTACATAATAAAACAATATAATACAAACAATAACCTACAAACTAAAAGCTAATAACTAAAAGTTAGTACAAACTAAGCTACCTAAACTACATAATACACACAATATAATATAAACAATAACCTAAAAAATTAAGTACTAGAATTGTTGAACGAAAAACTTTGCCCATTATTCTTTAATTTGTGTGATATCATATTCTGGCAATGGAGATGGATCTTGAAATACCTGAAACATTAATTTGACTCTTGTAAACATGCAACACACCTAAAGTTAAATAAACTTAACTAATGCTGAAAGCAATTATGGTATTCACTTATTATAATAAGTTTCTAACCTTAGGATAAATGGACTGCAAAGTCTTTGTTCTGGGTTTTCTACTTAGAACATTAGTTATAGACACGATTCTAAATGAAAAAAAACCATATATTATTCAATACCTTTTCCATTTTCACTAGCAAATTTAAAAAATTCATCAACTCATTTTTCGTACTCTTCACTAATACAATGTGCATTCATCCAACTTCGATTCATATTATGTTATAAAGTTTCGTCACTCCTAGAGATTCAAATTTTATATTTAAAAATAAATTAATATACAAACAACAAAGCACGTATATGGAGTGTGTAAACCGAAAATGCACTCAAACAAAATAATAACATTCCAATAACAACCCAGTGGAGACATTCATACAATGACGTGATTGAGATCCCCAAAAACAATCACGGATTCAATTTGGACATATATCAGGAGACATAGAATACTAACCTCGAGTAAACACGAAAACGATTTCAAACTCGAATCCAATCGGGGAGAAATGTCAAATTCGTAAAATGAGACACAATGTTGATGTTCTTCACTGCCAAAATGATCGAAAATGGTGTGGAAAGATAGTTGTCGTCGTCATTCTCATTGTCGTTCTAAAAAACCCTTGCGGCGCGAGATGCGGGAGTGGGTCTGGAAGAGAATAAAAAGAACTTTTTACGTCGCACACCCTAGTACGTGACGTAAAAAGCCTCTTTTACGTCGCGTGAGGGGTGTGCGACGTAAAAAGTATCACTTTTTACGTCGCGCACCCCCATGTGACGTAAAAAGTGATACTTTTTACGTCGCGCACCCCCCACGTGACGTAAAAAGTATCACTTTTTACGTCGCGCACACCCCACGCGACTTAAAAAGCTCTCTTTTACGTCGCGCTGTACCAGGTGCGACGTAAAAGAGGTTTTCAACGTCACCTCCTACAATATGCGACGTAAAAGTTTCACCTCTTATTTACAAAATTGCCACCGTGTTTTATTTACGTCGAATATTTTGACATGCGACGACAATTAGGTGACGTAAAATGTCATTTTTGCACTAGTGCAAACTTTAAAAAAGAGAGTCTTGTACTATAATTAAATTTATGGGCAAGTATTTGTAGTTATCCAAGTAAAATCTTAACTAAGAAAAAATGGCAATATGTATATACGATGCAACCTGTAAATTTTTAAATATCAGAAATTCATCCCGAATTTTGAATATTTGGACAGGGAATAATTTAAATATTTTAGGAAAAAAATTGATGTCAAAATCAAATTTCCTATATTAAGAAAATTTTCTCAAACATAAATTTTGTAATGCGCTTTTTTTAATTTATTAAAAAATGTTAAAATTATAAAATTTTATGAGTACAATGTCATATTTGATAAAAAACATATATTCTGATTTTATAGTTTTTAATAAATTTAAACGAATAGAAAAGAGTACATTATAAACAACATATTTTTAACACATATCAATTTAATATGAATAATGGTAGGAATATTGGTTAAGGAATAAAAAAAATCCATTAAAATTCGGCATTAATGTATATATATTTTTCAATGGATTTTTAAATGTGACTTTCAATTAATTTGCTTCATACACGAATTTAAATATAAACATAGGAATTCTTTTGAAATCGTTAAGGAGACAAATACTATGATGCCATAGTTAGACCGTATTCCTAATAAAATTTTATGTTAATTTGTTAAGAGAAAAAGAAGAAGTTAAGATCAGCATGTTGTTATTTTCTTGTCTTTATTTAGTTTTTCTCCAAAATATTTGAACGAATATTGTTAAAAGTAATCTTCTAAGTATGATGAATTAACATTAGTACAAAAATGATTGTGTCGAGTTTTGTTGGTAGTATATAATTGAAGGTATTATAATGAAAGGATAGCGAAAGCAAGATTAGTAGCATTAGAAGGTGACAAGAACAGTGTTTGTTTGGGGCAGCTTGGGAGACAAGTGGTTACACTTGGGGTGATTCAGAGGGATAAAAGAGTCTACCTGGTTTCAAACTGGTGAGACCAAACGAAGAAAGATGGAACAATCATCAACTACGTGCGCGTAGGATGTGGTCGATTGATGGGTGAAATTGTTCAGGAGACAGCCCCAAGCGTGATGCATGATGATATGATATCTATGTACAAAAGAGAGAAAGAGAGAGAGAGAAGAGTTATTATGGTATTAGTTTTTTTTAAAAGGAATATTTATAATTACTAATTAGTGATTACTTCGCAGTTTGAGGTAATAATATATCATAAGCACAAATAATAATAAAAAAAAGAAGATCCAATGTTATTTTCAATGGATAGCAAAATGGTTGAAGATGGGTGTCCTTTGAAATTCTGTAGAAATTGAAAACACTGGTTGGGTGGCTTCGGTGTTTTCTATGTTTCTCAAGTCCCACAGTTTTGTTTTGTATATATTTTTTTTTCTTGTGCATGTGTACCTGTTTGCACATGCAGTGCTGTGGCATGGTCTGCATTTCATGGCCCTACACACAACCATTATTGTCACTAACTGCTTCCTTCCTACTTAGGATCCCCTCTATTGCCCTATGGTCCCTTGTCCCTTGTACCCGGAGTCTAGACCCAGGACCCATCCCTCATCACTTCAAAACTCAAGAACCCCAACTCAACCCAACCCCACCATTTGAAGCACTAATACTTAGTAGGCAACCAAAAATAAGAATAAAGTAACCTGATCGACCAGTCCACATCTACCAAAATTTGTGCAACGCAAATACCACAAACAAAATAAATAAATCAAGAGTTTGTTAGTTATTGTAACTCTGCCTTCCAAATCTCTGCAATCTGCATTAGTGCTATTCTGAGAACCTGAGTGATGAAACATCACGACAGGACAGCGTTATTCTCAGAACAACCTACAATTATTAATTCTTTTCCAACACATGAAAAACCTAAATTAATTACCCCAACTCTTTTGCACATATGGGTATTGCTATTACTTCTTCTACTTACTTCTCAATTTCCATTTTAGTATAACCCTAGTACTGGCTACCATTTCTTAATTCATATAAAAAATAATAATATTATATTAATCAGAATAAAACCTTTTACAGGAGTTTTTTTTATATTGGTTTTATAATTAAGATTTTAATGTAAATTACCAAAATGACATTTTTAATTTTAGTAAGAGAATATCACCAGAAGAATTTCAAAAGTGCCAAAGTCTTTTGATGTCAGCGATCATCAGTAGTTATATATATAATAGATTAGAGAATGATAAGAAAAAGTGATGTATAAGTTTTAAGTTTTGTCTTTAAAAAGATAGTCTACAACCTGCACTTTTTAAACAATGTAGAGCATTTCAATAAAATCAGAATTGTCATTATTGTGATTGCAATTTAGAACATTATCTCATCATGTAAACGAAAGTACAATTTTCAAGTTACGGATAAATATTTCTTACATGTGTAAAAAGGCAATTCCTTTTGTGATTTATTGGTTAGCATAGCATATATAGTTAGGGCGAATGTGAGTATGCAACTGCAACTTCACATGATCCGAAGCTTCAAATGGGCATGTAGTTTGTTTCCGAAGCCAGGAAGCAAAAGTGTTGACCATGAAAGGTGGCAGTTGGGGCATAGCTTCATGTGTGTGTGTCTGCAAGGTTGTACACAGGCTAGTGAAGGAAAGAGAGGTTTGCTGGGAACAAGAAGTGACATAGGGGGAAGCAATTAGCAAACACAAAACACTTGAGGTTCATGTGCTCTAGTCTGGAAGAGTGAACACAATTGATAAACATGATTTTGGAATGGCCCTAGCAGAATGTGATGTGGTCTCCAATGTGAAATAAAAGGCCAGAAGGGCATGAATAGGAAAGTAATTCACAAGTGGTGGTATCAATGGCCCACTTTATTAATAGTACGGCATATCCATAAGATTCTGTTGGGGCTGTTCCCTGGAAGTACTTGAAAATCAAACCACCCAATCTCTCTCTCTCTCTCTGGTGACACACCCCATTCCTCATCCCCCTTCACTACTCGCACCAAAAGATGGACATGTACATCACATATCTTATATCGTTATCAAAATTGAAATCAGATACACACGTATACATAGACAGTGAGAGCATAAACGGGTCAAGAGATAAAACACTCAATCTTTTGCCTTTATCTTCTCCTTCATCTGTTGGATATCAAGCGTGTGGGAAGTCAGTTAAGCCTGTCTGGAGGCATAACAATAAGAAGCACAAACAAACCGCATGTGTCCTATAACATCTGCCTTTTGGAAACTCCTTTTTCATCTTTGCTCATAATTAATATGTGGGTCTTTTCTCTGCACCAACTTTCAATTCACAACGTATTAGTTTGTAATGTTACGCCCACTTCTACTCCCAAATTACTTCTAATCCTCCAGCAATACCAAAAATCACAAAACCTGTTCCTGCGGTTAACATATACACATGTTTGAATTTATTTTAGAACTATGAATTGATTTTGAATTAAAACAATTTTAAGTAGTAAATAAAACGTTTATACTAAATACTATAAGTTGATTTCAAAATAAAAATATGCTAACATATAGCAGATGTTTGGAAACACGAAAAGAACAGTTGAATCATATTTGCAATTGCAATGTGAAAGTTATAAGCATTAAAAAAAATCATATTTTGAAACATGAAAATTACATCTCAAATCTCAAACTAAAAGTAAATGCGCTAAAAAATAAAATCCTTTATGAGAGAGTATCATTATGTTAAACGTGTGTTTAGAACATGTGATTATGATAAAGAAAAACACAAGTTGAATGAATGGAGTGTTAATTTTGAAATAGTCAAACCGGTCCAATTGTAGTCCAACCCTAACCAATCTAGGGCATAGGGGTAGCGGTATTGGTTGCAGCTGAAGACCCACGTCTCTTAATGCTGAAGGACGGGTACCTGCAGGTGCAGGGTGTAAATGCATCACTCCATCCCTACAAGGAAAATCAAGGGCAGTGAATATCTGACCAAGTCATCTTAGTTTGGACAGAAGAAATCATTTTCAACGAGCTCTGGTCTGCCGTGGACCAAATGCATTAACAATAGAAGTATGCATTTAGAAATAGTACTATAGTTGTTTCAATAACTTATTAAATATGGTATTTCCAATCTAACTTCTTATAAGGCTGCAACAAGTTTTACTGCAATGAGGCAACACTCTTGCAAATGGACAGAATAAAATAATAAAGTTGAATTTTCACAACTGACATATATAAAGGGTTTTTTTACTCTGGTAACATCAATTTACAGAACAAATTAATAACAGTGCTATAATAGTTTCGTAAGTCATGTAGCAGTCCATGCGTGCATGATATTGTTAATGATTTATTTTATAATTGTTGTTCAAAGTTGATACTTGCATACATACATATTATACATGCATGGCAATTGGCAATTGACAATTGGCGATAGGGCAATAGGCAGTAGGCAATAGTGAATTTGAACATTGACAGCGAGAATATGAGATTCTACAGCTAGCTCAGAGATCTCATTTGAGTGCACGGGTGAGGGTGAATTCCTTTTCTAGCTTTGATATTTATGTAAAAGGGTGTGTGGAATATAACATGGTGGGTTACTGTTACTGACTTCCGTGAAAAACTGAAAATTTATCCAAACAAAGCATGGATATAAAAAGGGTTATGATGCCACATATAGGTAATAAAGATAAAGATAGGGGTTTTTAGACTGTCATGAGGCCTAACAGTCAGTAACACACACTGATTCATAAAAGAAAAGGAGAAGGACTGAGACAGAAGAAGCCCCACAAAAGGCCCAAAGAAGGATGACCTCATTGCAAATTCATTTATCTGTAAGTGTAGATTGGTTTCCCCACACTTTCCCATGATTTCCCTGATGTTAACAACTCATAACAAATGGTTGTTTTAAGAGCACAGTAAAAGGGTTTGATGCTCGATATACTTTTCATAATTTGGACTATTATCTGTCTCTCTCTGTCTCTCCCTTTGGATCTGACTGAACAGTACTCTGTAACTACCAAGAGCCACAGTGATGAGATGAAAGCCAAGGACTTGGGGTGTGGTTGTTGATTTTGGACCATTGTTTTTCTACAGCATTTATGGGGCGTTTGTAAGACTGAGAAGTTAAGTAACTGCATAGTATGACCACTGAGACTAAAGGAAATGGAGAAAACAAAAGGACAGGCAGTTGATTTTGTGTGAGATTTTCTTTTATTCATTGCGGACAAGGCGCTGTTTTACTATCACACACCAATCCCCCCTCTCACTTTCATCTTTTATACATTACATATATCTGTATTTCTCACTTTCCTTGAAGTCACTAAACTATTGTGTTCATAACATAAGTAACAGTTTCTATACTTTCAATTGACCAGAAATAATATTTTTCATATAACTTTTAGAATAGTCATCATAAAACTAAACAAATTTATGCTTTGTTTTGTGATGATTTTTACGTTGTAGAAAAAACTAACAGGTTAAAAGACAAGTTTTTAGTTATAAAGAGCTAAACAAAAAGTTGCACACATAAAAAACTAAATAAATTAAACTTAGTTTTGATAAGTTATGAGAATCGTAACACCTTTGAATTTACATGCGTGTAGTTTTTCTCCCTCTATTTATTTTTCTGAGAAGAGAAGAAGTGATTGTACTAGTCCACGTGCGTAGACCCCTAATGTACAGTTCCAGAGAAGCAAGCAGGCCCAACGGTTCAAGGTCCTTCTGCCACCGTACCACAGGAGCATGTTAATTATTATTGTGATGCATGAAGATCTGATATAGACAAGGATCCCTTTGAGCACCCTATGATTTATTTTTTAGCCATAAGGGTAATGGTGCTTCATGCTTTCTGTTTCCTTTTTTTTCTGTTATCTTTCTCATTCCCAACTATCTATACTATATCTATCGATCTATCAATCTCTTGGTACACTTGAGTGTGAGGGGCACGAGCTAGGACCCATTAAGCCATTCATTAATTCACTCATTCTACCCTACGCAATGTAACAAAACAAAAACCTCTCTATTCAGCTTTGTTTAAAATGAAGTACTTTGGCATTTTGGTACCCAATTCTGATGCACCTCAGAAAGGTTCCTAAAAAAAGTTGTAGTAACTAGGAACAGAACAGAAACAAGAATCCTTGTACGTCTAAAGCTAGTGATTCCAGCTGCATCAAATGGAACAGTTGCTACTTCACATTTTTCACAAACAGTATTCAGCGTACATGATGTGACAGTTCGTTTGTTATAATTGACGAGAGGTTGCGGAACGGTGGGTTCTCCTCCACTTGCTAGTGTCAAGTTTCATAAAATGGCTTGGTTTGTAAAACATGGAACACGACAACAACCACTTAACAATGTTGACCCTACTACAATGTTGCTTCTCCATGTTCCCAGTCAAACATGGCACCATATCCGTATCATATCAATTCCCATCACGGTCTTGTGTTGAGATGACACCATTTCACGCACTCATGATAAGACTTCGCTTATCTAATCTACATTATTACTATGCTACCGACTGTAATGTTTCACACTATCACATTACAACATTAACCCTCCAACTCATGCTTTTTCTGTTGAAATTTGGAGGACTCATTGCATTGCTCAATCAGTGCTGGTTCCATGAACTCAAAACTATTGCATGCATGCTCAAAGTTTTGTGATGGGCCATGTAACAGGTCATCATGTATGAATCCAACCCAAGAGTTTTTCAGAGAGGTGTTTTGTAGAGTATAGACCCAACCCATTATGGATCCTCCTGCTTCATTTTAAGTACATATACCCTATTCTGACAAACAAAAAAAGTACATCTGCTATTGTTGTCTTTTACTTCAGAAGTTCAAGCTACCAAGTAAAAAGAATGTCCTATATATGCTAAAGGATCGGTTTCATTCACGGAAATTTTAGCATAGAAAGGAAAGTGAAAGAAAAGAAAAAGTGGTAACGAATTTCTATATGAAAAATATATAGAAGCCTCTTATATTCATTCATCTCCTTCGAAAAACTCCTCAAACTTGGCATCAAATTGTTCCTCAAACGAAAATCCCAATTCAATAAGAAATTAGAAAATGGGCTTGTAAGTCGTTTTGCAATATCTTAAATCATTCAATTAACGAACTTGTATATTTAATGGGTAGGCCCCTTTTTACCGAAGTCGGAAGAAGTAATAATGACAAATATTGATTAGGCTCAATGTGAACACAGAATAGGTAAAAGATATTTATGTATTTTGTAATCTCAAAATCTGTCTACTTTCTTTTAGAAGAGAATTACATTATTAAATAGACTTTGTAAACGAGAAAACTGTTTTCCCACTCTGCCGCAGCTCATGGGCTGTTATCCTAAAAATAGGGAAGCTACAATTTAGCTCCCTCAATCCCTAAAGAATAGGTCTGCATAAGACCATTTAATTATTTAAACACAGAATTAAATAATCCAGCAATATAAATCTGCAAATAAAAGATAAATCTACTAACAATCCCTTCCTTAAACTAAAGATTTAGAAGCTTTAGTTTACTTATGATATTTCAATCATGCCCAACATTCTCCTGATCTTCTCAAATTGCTCCAGCTTGAGTGGCTTAGTCATTATGTTAGCTATTTGATTTTGGGTGCTGCAGTGGCTCAACTTGATTTTTCCTTCTTTGACAAGCTCTCTTAAGAAATGAAATCTAACATCAATATGTTTACTTCTGCCATGAAAAACTGGATTTTCAGATAATTTAATAGCTGAATTACTGTCACACAGAATTAGGATATGTTTTTGTTCTTTGAATCCAATGGTCTCCAAAATTCTCATGATCCAAATGCATTGACATGCACATGAAGTTGCAGCTATATATTCTGACTCCGTAGTAGATAACGTCACTATTGGCTGTTTCTTGGAAGACCATGAAACTGCACCAGTCCCTAAGGAGAATACGAATCCTGATGTGCTCTTCCTATCGTCTATATCACTTGCATAATCGCTGTCTGTATAAGCCACTATTTTTATATCTTCTCCTTTCTTGTAGTATATTCCAAGCTCAGTAGTTACCTTTAGATATCGTAGGATTCGTTTGATGGCATTCCAATGAGTCTCTGAAGGGTTAGCCATGAATCTGCTAATTAAACTCACCACATACATCAGGTCAGGTCTGGTTGCAGTCAGATACATAAGACTTCCAACTGCTTGTTTGAAGAGGGTGGCATTTGCCTTAATTCCTGTATCAGTTTTGGATAATTTGGTTCCTGGAACTATTGGATTCTTTACTGCATTGCACTCCATCATATTGAACCGAGCCAATACTTCCCGGGCATATTTTCGTTGACATATGAAAATACCATGTGTACTCTGCAAAACTTCAATTCCCAGAAAATACCTCATCTTCCCCAAGTCAGTCATGTCAAACACCGACATCATGGAGTCCTTAAACTCATTACACATGCCACTATCATTTCCAGTGTAAATTAAATCATCTACATATAGGCTTACAATAATAATTTTACCTTCCTTTGCCGACTTTGTGAACAAAGTATGTTCACAAAAACATCTTTCAAAGCCATTATGTAAGAAATATGCTTTTATTTTGTTGTACCATGCTCTGGGTGCTTGTTTGAGTCCATAGAGTGCCTTCTTCAACTTGTACACCTTTTCTTCTTGCCCCCTTTTTGTGAATCCAGCTGGTTGTTGAACATATATTTTCTCCTGCAGTTCTCCATGGAGGAATGCGCTTTTCACATCAAGTTGGAAAATGAACCAGCCATTCTGTGCAGCCATAGATAGAATTATGCGAATAGTGTCTAATTTGGCAACTGGTGCAAACACTTCTGTGTAATCCACTCCATAGTGTTGTGCATAGCCTTTTGCTACTAATCTTGCTTTAAATTTGTCAATCTCACCGTTCTCCTTGAGCTTGGTTTTGTAAATCCACTTCACTCCAATCGGCTTCACTTCTTTGGGAGCATGAGTTAATTCCCAAGTTTGATTTTTCTCTATAGCCT